TATTTTACTCGCACTCGTTATAAAAACTCGTAGTAAGTTTTATGTAATACAAGGGTGTGTCCGTTTAAACAGAGTGTGCAGTACGCTAACGAAGTTAAATGTACACACGGTTTTACACCGTGTGAGAAATAACAAAATGTACACTGCACATTGAAATTAATTTACACCGTTTTTTTACAGTCTTTTCCCAGCCCATGTAGAAAATATAACGTTCAACGTCAAATGTAATTCTGTAGTTGCTATGTGATTTTTATTTTGACTGTCTGAACTTGTTCTGACTAAAGAGAGAGATGAAATACAACATTTTGTATTTTGGCGTTATAAGACATTTTAATCTTGGTGTATTTTGAAAAACAGAATGTACGCGTACGGTTTCGGCTCCGAAATAGAACATATCGGTGCATTCTGACTCTCTTTCTTATTAGAAACATTGATCAGGAATAATAAAGTTGTGTTTGATTTCTCCATAAAAAAATTGCTCATATGAATCATTCTTTTTTTTTATAGATACCTTTTAATCATTGTAAAAAATTTTTTTTATCAACACTGGTGTTTATCTACGCCGGGTACTTTTTTCTGAGCATAATTGTATGTTCCTGTCGATATAAAGTATAATTTATATGTACTTGTTTAGCATTGATGAGTATCAAATTTTATTTTTTAATTACACTTTGTCAACATCTGTCTAATAAACATCGAAGTATCCTTCTAATACATCGAATGTCTTTTTGACTTCGTTTCTTTCTACTCATAAGAAAGGTGTCGAGGAACTCTACAGGTATGTCTAACAACGTTGCACTGATACCTATCAATGTCGCACTCTGATTAATACAAAGTTAAATAAAAAAACGTATTTTTGTCTTCTTTCTCTCAGGAATGGTTTTTCTTCTTAAACAGTATCTTCTTTCGTCTATACTACAGTGACTGACTGGAATCACCTTCCAAAAACGATTATCTGCTTTTCCTCTTTATGGCATTTCAAAAAAAAACTTTGTCTAAATACCTTTCCGCTCAAAGATAGTCATTTTCAAGTATTTCTCGCACCTTATCTTGTTTTTATAGTGTGACTGGTCATTTTTGTCTTTATACAATCTCTGTCCTTTTGTTGTTTACTTTATTTTAAAATTTACACGTAGTTGTTTTAAAAACTTGTTATTTTTTTTTGTTTGTTGTTTGACAGGAAAGTCATCATTTGGCAGGTCGAAAAACTCTATGTGAATAGCACATTATTATCATATAATTTACTAATGAATCTTTTATCGTGTATTGGTCGTCAGGAACAGGAAGGACCAGCGGCTGAGACTCCGAATATTGATCAAATTCGTGCATTTCTTAGTCGTTTTCAAAATGATCCAAATACGGACAAGAGCTTTATTAGTCGTCCAAATTCAACTGAACTTTGTGAATGGTCTAAAAAAGTGTGCGAATACCTCCCAAGTGTTGATGACCAACCTGCAGAACAAGCCAACAATGTCAAACAACATTTTTCCGCTATAAAACAATTTTATAATGTTATCCAACAACAAAATTGGACACAAATACCTGCTCCCATTCAAACATTCTTCAATAGTTTACAAATTTATGAAACAATATCGGGTTTAGCTTGTATTATGTTTGAAGAACATCCTGATATCATGAAAGTAATTGAAAATCAACTACAAGAAGCACGAGAAGCCATTGAACAATATCGTAGTGTTGGTTTCATTGGTTTACTATGTTGTGGTTCAGGAATGATATTAGCTCGTTTTAATACATTTTTACGTATTATTGATGAAAAATTGCAAGATTTAGGTATTGGACGGTTATTAGAATTTTTACAACAATTATTAGACGTATTTTGTAAATATTTTCAAATTGATATGTCAAATATTCATGATCTACAAAAAATAGCTCAAAATGTTCGAGATCTAATTGCACAAGTTGGACAAAAATTAAGTGTAGTTTTTGGACGATTAGCTATTACGGGTGATCAACGCTCAACAGATGACAAATTTGCACCATTGGAAATAACGGGAAAAATACATCGAAAACTATCGAAATTTGGTACTCAAGCACCAATCGTAGACAAAGCATTAACATCATTTGAGCGATTTTATACGGCAATTAATAAAGTTGATGATAATCTCATTAGAAAACAACAACAACTAAAATCATCATCACAGGTAAAAATGAAAAAACGTTGATTCCGATGTGGTGAGGACAGATGCAGGATAATAATGAGGTTAACTGAATTAGATGGAGAATGTGTCAGTATTCTGATGTCTTCCAATCTATGAACATTTTTTAACCATGTAATTAAAACTATTATTTTTGGTCCCTCTATTTAGTATTAACGCGCAATATTTTTAGTGTCTGTTTTCTTCTAACGAGTATTTTCTATTTTAGCCAACTACGACTGAACATAGTCTTCGCAGTACTAATGATACTGTTGATCCTGATTTTCGTCGGGAAAATGCTTTACAATTAGAAACAACGAGTACAATTGAAGAAGTATCTGTTATTGGAAAAATGATGCAAAGTATTGAATTAGTTCTAACCTACGGTATTTTAATTTTGAAAAATGAAGATGATGTACTGAAACCATTAAGTGATCATGTTGACGATTGTACAAAAATTCTTGAAACCTATGCCCATTTACATCCACTGTACAAAATAATATGTGGTAAAAATTATTTGAGTAAATTAAAAGTATTTATTAATAAAATTGTTGATTTATTAAAATCATCAAAACTGAAATTAAATTCTCCAGATGAATTTTTACAAGAATTAAAAGAACGTTATCCTGATCTATTACGATTTTTGGCCGATGATTTAATTGAACAAACATATAAAAAACATATTGCCGATAAGTTACCCGAATCAGTGGAAAATATACTTGATGATGCAATGAAAAATATTATGGGAAAATTTAGTTCAAAATTTTAAATGAATCTATTTATTCTATATTTACTTCTTTTCATTGCTCAATTCTCTACATAGATTGATGGTGCTTTTCTAAGAGTGATAAACCATGGGTTGCTAATTATGCTCTGCTTAGCTACAGTTTTTTCTCCTGTGAATCATATTTTTCTGATATATTAAAAATTTGACAGTAAAAACACAATTACAGGTTGTTTTTTTTTATACAACTTTTTTGTTGACACAACTGCTGTTAGAACCACAAGTGAAGCGGTTGCTTTATCTACTTTTCTTTTGTAGAATTTTAATATTTTATGAATAATTTTGTTTTTAATATTGAAGTGCTTTTGCTTACCCGTGCTATTTACCCAAATATTTTTTAAATTTTTTAATAAAAGAATACTAAAACTCAAACGATGATTAAACAAAGACTATAAAATTGAAGATAGTTTAAGTACCCTATAAAAAAAATTCCAGTGCGCACCGGTGTGCATGGCATGCCATCGGTCACTGGCACTGGTTGGCACCGGTGCGCACCCGTGCCCAGCAAGTGCCGAACCAGTGCCGATTGGCACCCGTGCGCACCGGTGCCGATATATTTCTGCTGAAAGAGTGCCGCACTGGTAAAATCAGTGCCGCATGGGTGCCGCACTAGCAAAAATCGGTGCCGCACTGATAATTTATTTAATCAATTTAATTAGTTCTTTATTATGGTTGTTTATGCTGAATTTTGTGTTAGAGTGCGGCACTGATCAGTACCACATCGACATGCCAAAACCATGCGGCATTGCCTCGGCACTTCTCTTATGAGAAGGAAAAAATGAAATCAGAAAGACATTCGAAATATTAGAAGTAGACCGTAGCGTTAATATAGATAGAAATTGACAAAACAAAATGGTGATTGAAAACAAAACTTCGGCACCGGTGCGCATCGGTGCGAGATTTTTACATTCTTTCTGGCACCGATGCGCATCGGTGCCCAGAAAAAATAATTATTCGGCACCGGTGCGCATCGGTGCCCGGAAAAAAAATTATTCGGCACCGGTGCGCACCCGTGCACAACCAGTGCCGATAAAATATTTTTTTGTAGGGTTGCCAGAGAGGGAAGAGTAATTTTCACCATTGATGAACGACCAACAATTAATTGTCAGGGTCATGTGATATTTGAATGATATCAAAAGCATATTTTTCACGTAGAATAAGAATAAAGATAGTTCAAAATTACCAAAAGCAGTATATGAGACATTGACGCTCATTTTTGAACAAATAAGCCATTTTTCAGATTTTAAAAAGTTTGATCTTTTTCAAATAAAATCGATTTGAAACCCTAAAAACCACATATTCGGATTCAGCTCAACTAGTCGCGTCGAACCATGTATATACTTCACAAAAATAAATTTTGCTCGACTTTTGAATTTCGGGAACCTTACTTAAAAAAATCGGCTCCTTCTCCCTAAAAAACTCCTTTGGATCTGAAAAGCAGACACTTTAATTGATTAGTTCACAGAATAAAAAAGAATCGACTTTTCTTTGTGTGTTCCCTAATGTTTATTTTATTATAGTGACAGAGTTAAATTGATATTTTTCATGTTGTTTTTCTATATTAAGTTATGAATAGAGATAATTGTGTCACGGTTACTTTTCAATCTTTTAATAAACTTTGATAATTTAATTTGACTATTTGCAATTTTCGTGTATAAAAAAAAAAAGAAGAAACAAATAATAGATGAACGTATATAACAGGAAAAAGATGTGACAAAAAAAAAACAACACATATGTGTATTGAAAAAAAGAATATTTTAAAAAAAAGATAAAATTTAAAATTATTTTTTTTAACTAAAATTTTGTAACATACAAAGAAATGAAAAAAACAAAAAGAGAAAGAAAGAAACAAATTATATCATTCTATCGAGCACACTTTGATACTAAACAGAGAAACAAAATTAAGAGAATGTATGTGTTATGTGTGGTGTGCTTATGTACATCAATATTATTAATCTTCTCTCCAATTTTGTCGAAATAAATTTTGTTCACGTGAAAATCGTTCAAGTTCTTCTTGTCTCTCAAATATATGTACATGAAATGGTGATCCGGGTACATGTTCATCACTCCATTTTACGCTAATCAAATAGTCACCATGCTGAAAAGAAAAGAAAAATTTTTACTAGAAAGAAGAGAGAGTTTACAAGTTTTCAGCTTGTGATCATCTGAATTCATTATGATGGATTAAAACTTCAACCTCATTGATGTCAGATGCTAAGAAAGTCGCTTAAAATGAGTTAAAATAAAGTAATAAGAGGCCTTTATTACCTCCGTCGGATTATATCTACACATAATTGTTCGATCTTGTAAATGTTCTCGTTGCATTTCAACACGGAATGCTCCTTTTGGTCCACGAATTTTGACTGTTAATTGACCAGCCCCTAATGAAAAATATTATTAGAAAATATTTAAAAATCGAAATAATTTCATTTTAAATCGATATTGCACTTACCAGCTCCTTTTGTTTCACATGTAAAACGTGATTGAAATGTCGATAACACACCATGTTCAATACCCGGACCTGACACACGGACTTTATCTAAAAAGGATAAACAATAAGTAAATTAATTAAAATGTTATAAAATCTTACTTACTTGCATCTGGTGCTCCAGATATTTTTAACGTATACGGACTGCCTATAATATAATAAAAAAATATATTTAAATTACAGAGAATGTTTGTAAATCATACCAGGCACATGTTCATCATTATATCTAATAGTTAAAACATGTCGTCCTGCTTCCTGTGGTTTAACATAGAGTGTAAATGTACCATCACGATGATCAAATAAACGACAAAACGCTGTTTTTGAAGATCCTTGACAATAGGCTGTCAATTCTCCGGGCCCTGCTGACCTTGTATCAATTAGACATTTGATTTCTTTACCCATTACACCCGTACGAAGACCATCACCAGTACACACAACTTTGGATGCATTTCCAGCTGGTAAAACATTAATTTTGAATGGTGAACCTCGTACTTGTCTATCAGCCCAAGTTACACTTAACAGATAAACTCCTAGAAAAAGAATATTAAAATAATTTATCAGAATCAATCTTTAACTAAACTAAAGTACCTGGTACAGATGGAATATATGAACATGAATAAACATTATTTTCAAGTGATTTAATTCGAATGTCAACGTCGGATTTAGTGCCAGTTAAACGTACCGATGGTATACCTGATCCTGCTTTTGTCCCGTCTATAGTAAATTCTGCTTCTTCATTCACTCTCGCCTCGTGACTGCCTCTTCCATAGACTTCAACTTTTATATGATCTGATTGTCCCGATACATTAGTAGCTATTGCACGTAAAGGCATATTTGGTAGAAGATTATTGTCATATGTTACATTAATATCATATTTTCCTAAATTAATTCAAAATTAAACGGTGACTAAAAACCAAACCATTAATCAATCATGACTACCTTCACGAACTGCTGTAAAACTAACAGTATACAATGAGCCTTGTTGATCGAGACGTATGGGTATTCGTCCATCAATATCTCGAACATCAGCTTTGAGTGAGCCTGGACCGGCGTGTGCTGTATCAAAGCGAATCTTTTTTTCTTCATTTACAAGTAAACGCATTCGATTTTCAACATCAAGAATCGATTGCCATCCACCGACAACTCGAACACGTTCAGAATTTGTTACTGCAGCTTTCAATGGACTACCTGAATGCAAATATTTGTATTTTTATTAATTAAAACATAAAAGTTTAATAGTCATCGACTTACCATCAATATCTTTTCCATTCCATTTAATACTAATATTGTGAAACTAAAATATGAAAAAAATAATGTTTTGTATATATTATTATGGTCATATTCTCTTCTTACTCCAACTTCAACTGGTATGTATGTTACTTTAAACAAGTCATCATTTGTTCGTTCAAGTGTATTTTTAATAACAGAATTAGGACCTACATAACAACAAATTATTGTCAACTAATCGTAGGTAAAATTCAATAACATTTAATTACCCTCTATTCGAACTTTTAGATCCCCTTGCATATCTTTTGTGTCAATAAAAAAGTTAGCTGGTCGATCTTCTTGAGCATGATAGAGACCTTCACCGTGGACTGTAACAGATCGTGCATCGTTAACAGTAATTTTAAATGGAGTACCTAAATATCATAAGAGAATATTAATTATTTATTGAATAATATTTAAATAAATTTTTAATACCTTGAATGGCTTCAGAACCAATTTTTGCATTAATATAAAGAATACCATTTTCATTCGGTTGAAAACGAACTTTTTTAATTAATGATTTAGACGTTGAATCTTCAATTTTTAATGGTACTAATGTACCAGTGGAAGTAGTAATTTTTATATCTAATGGTACATTGCCAGCATTTTCAAGATTTACTATAGTAGAAGAAGATACAGAATAAAAACAATTAAAAAAATATGACTAGTAATAGTACCTTCAAATGAAGTTTCTGATCCAACAAAAATTTCTTTTGATACATTCAGTATTTTAACGGCTGATGGATCATAGACTTCTGTAAAAAATGGACTGCCTTTTAATGGTACATTAGCAAATGTTATATCGATACGATGTTGACCTATAAAATCGACGATGTATCTACTAGCATCAGTATTATTTGTTATTCCTTACCAACTTTAGTTGGAGTAAATTCACCACTATAATCACCACTGGCTTGAGGAAATAATTTCACTTGAACTTGTTCACCTTTTGGTCCTAAAGACATAATAAAACGTACTATTGTTACTGTTTTAACAAAAAAAAAATAATTAATTTTTAATTGTGCACTGGTGGTCTCAAGTATATATTAGAACAATACTTACCATCTATTCGATTATATAAATTGAAGACAAATAGTTACACAACAACAATGACAACAAATTAGTTTTAGATTTTCCACTCACCAATGTTTGGTTAGTTCACACCATCATCAACACAAATAAAACAAGAGTATGAATCCTACCAACAAAAACTGTTCCTTTCAAGGTATTTAATGGTCTACGACTAGGATCAAGTAGGTACAATGTATTTGTATCCACTAAATGTCTCAATACTTCAATAATATGATCATTCGGTGGTATATTAAAGCCTAATTTTTCATGTAACTGAAATGTGCATATGGCATTTCCTAAACAAAGACTTATTTAAGTATTATTAATTATTCCAACATTAATTTCATCGTACCATTTTCTTTTCCAAGTGAAACTTTCGTGATACGATCAGGTGTTACAAGTAATCGAGTAGTAAGCAATGATGTTAATATTTTACTCCATAATTGTGATGCAAATTGTAGTAACACATCACACGGCTCTTTTAGTTGAAATGATATTGGTTGCATGTCAATACGATCTCCCACAGAAAGATCTAAATAATATTTCATATTTTCTTCTCTTGTGTATAAATAAAAGTAAATAAAAAACATACTAAATGCTTTTGCTTTCACTACTCCTTTTTGACCATTACAATGTACAATAAATACACCCAATTCACCTAATCGTAATCGATTAAAACATTCACCAGAAACCTGAGCAACTTTTGGCCAGTCGACTTTGATCGAAAACGGAGATCCTATCCAATAGATAAAAGAAATAAAATGAACATGTTACAGATTAGAAATACATTTTAACCCTGCATACCTTCAACAGACATGTTACCACAACGTACATCAACAGCATATAAACCAGGTTCCTGTGGTATAAATTGAATTCTTACTAAATTATTGTTTACTACATTTAATGATAATGGAATTTGTTTGATGCCTAAACTAACACCAGCGGTAATACTGGCTGATATTACCGATTCGACATGAACTAAAAATCAAAGTAGATTATTGATTATCATTTGTTTCGGTCGTTTTTCTAATGCCACTTATGTACCTTGAATAACACACGTTGAATTGATTAAAACGGTTTGTTCTAAACCTGACAAGAGTACTTTGCCACTTGAATTTCTGATTTGAACATTGATAGATGAACCTAAAAATTAAATATATCGATGATAGAATAATATGTTGAATATTAATCTTCGTACTCACCATCTGTTTGTGCACCATTATGAAAAACATTAACCGTATAATTACCAGTGATATACGGTTTAAAATGAACATGCCACGATTTTTGATCAATCGATTCGACTCTTGATGGAACTGTTTTTGAGTTACATGTAACAAGAGCATAAACAGGAGATTTTAACGATACATCAGTAGTGACTAAAAAGAAAAATAACCATAACACTAGTGAAGAATGAAAATATATCTTGTTTAATTACCAAGAATGATAACATTATCTCCGATTTCTGCATCCAATGGTCCTTGCAATCGAAGTTTAATATTTGATGGTGATAAAGAAACAGTAGGTCTTGTCAATGACGAACGTACATCAACGATAAAAGGTTTGCCTGTGAATTAAAACAAGTCATATATAATATAGTAATGACAATATCTTTTAACTATCAAGTTATCTTACTATTACCTCCGACAAGTTCATTGTTAAAGGAAATATTTAATTTGTAAATACCCGTATCAAGGGGAACATATTGAATGAGAAATTCTTTATCGGATATATCTTGTATTTGACAAGCATAAGAATAATCATTATGAAAAACTTCGGCATTTAAATTCCCAAGGCCAGCATTTGATATATTAACTAATAAGAAATAAACGCATGAATGACGCCTATATTATTTGCATAATCATCATTATCCATGTTTACCTTTATATGATATTTGTGTACGAACAACGGGATGTGTATAAAACTTTTGCTCAACTTCTATTTTACTGGTATCATACACAAATATTTCTACTGGTATATCTAAAAGGAAACAAAACTATCTTATAATATAATCTGACAATGTGATTTTAATCGTAAATTAACTTGATATATATATATATATACACACATAAAACTTTATATACATATATATGTAACTTTTTTTTCATCGTATTGAATAGATCACTTCACATGTGTGTTTGATTCACACACGTATGACACATGTGATGATATTAACTTTTTAAATAAATTATTGATAGATTAATATCTTAATTACAACACACACCTTCAGATTTAAAGTAAAATCGAAAATATCACAGAGATCATCTAGCTTTTTAATAAATAGTAAATGATGGAACATCAAAATTAACTATTTACTAGATCAATATAATCAATTATCTTTTTCATTTTTCTACTTGATATGTAGATAATAAAGTACCATTGACAACATAAAATAGTTTTTTTCTTTTAATATTTATTTCGAAGTAAAGTTTTTGACCTTTTCTTTTCAATTATGATAGATTTTTCTGTTCAATTTACTTGCTCCAACTAGATGAACACTTTAAATCTCTAAATGACTGTGTTTTCTATTTAAAAAAAACAAAAAAATATTGCTGACATGCAATAGTGATAAAAATCATCTATACATTATGAAGCAACCAGGTTGTTACATAGTGTATAGATAATTTTTTGGTCACCAATATAATCGTACATTTTTAATGCAAAAAAACAAAATTAGTTTACAACAATAATAAAAAAACAAACAAAAAAACAATTATTATCGTGATGATGGAATATAAATCAATGTATCGCACAATGTTGGTTGTTTAATAACATTTGCTACTTCTAAAAAAACAGGTTGCCTAATTGAATATTCATTCTTTATATTTACACTTGGATTAATAAAATTATTTTGTTGTTCTTTTTCATTCATGTGATTACCACTAACATCACTATTTGGTGTTGTTATCATACTGAAACGTGTTTGTATATCATCTAATAATTGTTTATAATCACGATAGAAATTATTTGAATTATGATCGTGTAAATCATCAAAAACAAGATCAACTAAATGACCTAAATTTGATGTATCCATAGCTGTTATTTGACCAATATCTGCCGAATATATGGCTGGATCACGTGCAATAGAAACACGATTACCATAGTTGTCTAATTGTTGTTCGAGTGATGCTCGTCTAGGCGCAGTTTTCAATGATGTATTAGAATAAGATTGTTGTGAATTATCGGAAATAGGTGTTTGTGGATAGTCTTGTGCATTATAGATATGTGGTTCAGGTGTAAATGGTCCACCAAAAATTAGATCGGGACGTCCTGATGCTGCACTTTTACTACGTAAACTAAAAAATTTTATTTGATCAATGGGTCGAGACAGCCTCGGCTGATTGTGATCAACAATATTTAACGATTCATCTCTATTATTATTGTTTAAGGTATTTTGAATGAAACGTGTACCATTTTTTCGTGTTAGAGACAAAACATTTGGATTATTTAGCTTTGTTGAATTAAGATCAAACTGTGCACCCGAACCATTAGTATTATTCATATTTTTAGTAGATACATTGGGTTTTGATTGTGGAATATTTTGTCCATCAGATTTATTCGAATAGCCCGTATGTTTCTTTTCATACTCTACTATTAATCCATTTTGCAGTGTATCATTACGCAATTGACGATTTTGATTAGATCGTATATTTTCACGAGTTATACGTGTCTTTTCATAATTGGATATTTGATCTAGATTATATGTACTATTTGTTCGTTTTTCGATATTTGATGGTTGAGATTGATGTGTATCATTAGTTTTTGCCGATGTTGAATTTACAGAAGTAGACATTAATTTTTGCCAATTATTTAGTAATGCCTGAAAATCGGTCGTCGAATTTTGTGATGGTGAATCAGTTTGTGCACTTTGATCTCGTAGTCTTCTTTCAGTACTTTGTTCACGTGTATGTTGACCGTTTTCCTCTTGTTCATCTTCGCTTTGATGTTGTGAGGGAAAACGTTTGCCTAACGATATTTCATCTTCATAACTACTACGTCGAACATTGGAATGTTTATCATTCAAATGTAAAGTATGTGAAAAGTCAGTAGAAGATTTATACAATGTTCTAGATGAATCATCGTTATATTGCGGCAGTTGTTCACGATAAAAATGTTTATCATGTTTTTTGCCGTTTTGAACTGTTTGTACATAGTGATCAGGCTGTTTTTTTTTTTCATGTCCATATAACTTTTCTAAATGATCTGGTACTTCATTTAATCTATTACTTTGAAATTTTGCTTTCGCTTTATTTTGATAGATATTTTGCATTTTTTTCACATAATTATTGTCCATTTCTGATGAAAATTCAACCATTTGAGAATCGGTCATTGTACTAGGCAGTTGTTCTTTGTTTCTTAACGGTCTATAATACATTTTTGATTTATGATAATAATTGTCATTTTTCTCTTCTCTCTCATCGTCAGATGGTGGTAAATTGATGATAAGTGTTTTAGACTCTTTTTCTACTGATGGTGAACGAGATATTCTCTCAGTTGTCCTATTATGCTTTGGTGTTGTACGAAATCGATTCAATTGTGATACTAATGGTGGTGAACGAGAATGTTTTCTATTTTCTAATCGATTGACTTTTGATAGTGAAGGACCTGATTCAGGTATATGTCTATTATTTTTATTACGAATATATTCAACATTTTTTATTGGCAACCAATCAGAGGCATGTTTTACTGGTGACTTGTAGGATGAGGATGTTTTGGATAGATTCTTCATATGAGGATAAGATTTTTTAATTGGATGAGTTTTTGTTGATGTACGTTTATAAAAATTATGAACGCGTGGTGATGATGATAATGAATCATCCGAATGTAAACACATTTCTTCATCATTATTTACATTGTCACTATCCGTTTCTCCAAATTCAATTTCTTTTAATTTTTCATCAATTTGTTTTAACATTGACATATGCCATCCACGAAAACTACGTAATTTTTCATCTTGTTCTTGTATATCATTAGTATTAGTACGTTTAATTTTATTACGTTGATGATCATCCTTTCTGTTATTTTTAAGATAATCAAGTTTTTCTAATGGTTCCGATTTTAAATTATTCGAATCATCACTTTCATCGTTATCATTATCATCATTTGAATTTGAATTACTATTATTTAATTCTTCATCACTTGTTAAACATAATCGTGTCATCATTGCCTCCTTCATAATATCTCCCTCATTTTCGTTTTCAACAATTAATTTTTTATCATTGGTTCTCTGTAATATTTTTTGTCGATTTGTATTTAATTTTAAACCTTTTAACGTATTTCCATCAATATTAACTATTGTACTTAAACGATTATTTGGTGATTGTGTATGTTCTGATATAGTGTCTGCTGAACTCAATGATACTGAACATGAAATTTCTAAAGGATTATCAACATCATAATGAAATTCATAACCACCTGATTTCACTCCAGTTTCCGCATGTTCATGATCATCTACTTTAGTAGTGACACGTCCTAAAACGGCACGATACATTCCAAATTTATTATATTGAGCTACTTCATTATCATCTTCATCTGAATGTTCTTCATTTGTCGTTATATCATCTAAAACGTTATTAACGTCTAAAATATCTGGTGTACTAATAGTGGGTATTGTTAGCATATTTTCAATTATATTTGTTGTAATAACTGGTTCATGATGTTGCTCATTCCCATCATATAAATTTGTATTATTACCCAATAAATTATTCATTTTTAATATCGATGATGATGGTGAACAATATAATTTATTCACAAATGTTAGTAAACTATCATTATCATGTTGTTGATATGCTTGTGTTTGACTATCATTACTTGAGGCAATAGATGATGATGTTGAACTATTAATGTTACTATCAGTTGATTGTTGTTGTTGTTGTTGTTTATTATTTTCTCGAATATAATCAGTTTGATTGGTATTAAGATTGGTATATGTCGTTTTCGATTTTCTTAATAATAATGGTTGATCATTTGTTATTTCGTTGTTATTCATGGTCCTTATTTTGTCTTCCGTTGTAATGCGAAAATTCTTTTGTTCATGCGAAACTGTCTTTTTTTGTTTCCAAACAAAATTATACGTTTGTCCTTTAGATTGTCGTGTATATTCGTTGTCGCGTGTATAAACTTTAATTATACTTTTGGTTGTTTTTTTTTATTATTAATTAAAAAACAAGAGAGAGAGAGGGCGTTTTTCTTTAGATGTGAATGAATGAACGACTATAGCCTACACTAATTTTGATGAATCTCTCACGTGAACGCTATGCTATCATTAGAACAAGAAAGTTTTATTGTCTCTATATCTAAAAGTTTGTGAGAAAGAGTGAATAAACGTTTTTTTTCTTTTTGTTATGTTTTGTACATCTTTCTCTCTTTCTCTGTATGCGTAAAGATACAGATTATTATTATTATTATTATTTGGAACATAACCACAAAATAGAAGAAGAAAAAGAGGAAAACTGAATGCATGAATGAATATATAAAAATTTATTCAGTGGATGAAACATTATGACTCGGGATGGTTAAAGTTTGAAACGAGAGGACACACGTACATGTGTATAGATAGATACAAGTGTATATAATACTTTTGACTTTTTTTACTTATTCATGAAACAAAAAATAAAAACAAATAGTAGAAATAAACGTTTTTCAAAATTTTGTGAAAGCACAATGTATTGGATTACAAAAACAATATAAAAATAGCGAAAATATGGCAGGTTCGCAAAACATTTATTTTTCCTATGAAATGTCATTGTTATAAAAATTGACTAATCATCCGAGTTTTTCATGAAAATGCAAAATATTATCTAACGTCTATTGTAAGCGTTTTGCAGCGTTATTAGTAACTTATTAAAATAAGTGTTGATTTCATTAATCCTCGAAAATAAACTTTCTAATAAAGACACGGTGTAAGGTATCACTGATGAATGTATATACACAAACATTGAAATTCAGTTATGAGTAGAAAAAGAGGAGTATACACGTGAACAAAGTACTGAAAGAAGACTACGAGATCAAAGTGCACAAACTGATTCACCATCACAAAATTTGACGACCGATTTTCAGGCAGTAGAATATATTTAAACTTCGGTGATAATCGCTGGCTCGATTATATAAGGAACTCTTCTCTCGTTTTATGGTAGTAACATGAAAAAGACCAATTACGTTCGGTTAAATGTACATTAATTTTTAATCAGCCTACTGAATGATTGTTTCTTTGACATTTAAAAGGCAGTTAGATGCCGTTGATTAATTAAAGTCATAATGACAGCTGACATATATGTAAGGGAAAACGTGACTTATTGTTATTGTACGGTTTAAAACTACCTTTTCTCTTTATTTCAACAAAACACGTTTCCCCTTCACCTATTATACTACTTCTCTATGTTGTTTGAGAAAAAACAGATTGTCTGTCCTTCATACGAAATAACAAGAGAAATCGTTAACACTACACTATTGTAGTACACATTCTTAGTTTTTCATTGTTAAAAATATCATCTAAACAGACCTTTCAGCTGAATCATAGGACATGAAAAAAACAGTAGAAAAACTAGATTCAACACAATGCGTTGGTTATGACAACCAAAATGAACCATCACACAATCGAGAATGTTTTACGTCTAGAGACTGAGAGTATTCATGACTATACATACATGGTGATCTAAGTTTTCTTGCTTAAATCTTGATGAGAGATACTTAACTTTACAGATTAAGAGAGAGCATCTTTTTCCTATCACCGGATCAAAAAATTTGAAAAGCCTGTTCGATCAAAAACGGATTGCAGATTCGTCTTCTCCATAAACTATTATCTGATACACGATAACTTTCGGATCCATTGATATGCTCCACTAGTTTAACACATCTTATCTATCCTAGTCTCTCTTTAGAAAATAATACGATCTAATGATCTTGTGAACGGTTAGACTAAAAGAGTTTTGTAAATTGGAAAGCTGATATAATACTGCACGCGAGGACTCCGTTCTCATTTCACATTTCTGTTCACTAAACTATTGCCGTCAGTAAACACAATAGACATTTCAAATTGATATTAAAATCTAACAAAACTTATTCTTCGTCTCACAAGCGGATAACTTATGATTTTCAAGCTTGAAATGTTATTTCTGCAAAATCTCGTGTCATAACACTCTTACGTTGAAGAGCAAAACAAGAGCAAAAAAGTTAGACACTTTTAAGTTCTTATAAATTTCAATGCCGTAACCTACATGGCTAGACCCGCTCCTCTACTGTTGGAGTGTAATTCCGGCTCTCTTTTGTTTCTGCTACGTGCTCTCTGTATGTTTTCAATGGAAATAAGCGCAGAATTTTCGTCTTCATTAGTAACATGACTATTGCAGAGCGTTTTCATACTCGCCGCTACCTTTTCAATCTAGCAGACATAACAAAAATACTGAGAACACGTTCAAAAACTAAGGTGCTTACAATATCCCTCTGTATTCTTGACATGTCTAAAAACAGAAATGTAACCGTTCCAAACTACTTAGGGGTACTGTTACCGGTCTAAAAATTTTCTACTGGAAGAAAATGGCAGTCTTCAATTTTTTTCTAAATCTAACAATGTTTTATATTTTTGTTTTTAAAAACAAAAAACAGCTGAAATACAAAACAGAAGAGAAAGGAAATATGTTCATCAAGAGTGGATGCTACTCACTTTTTGATAGTAAATGACTAAATGTGTTTAAAATAAATCTCAAAGTAACATCCGTGAGAAACTTCTTTTAGATCGATCGTTCAAAAAGTCTTACAGGAACGGAACGACTTCATCGTGCGCCGTTAACGATTCCAACGTCGGTCTATAAATTTGAAGATAGTGGAAGGCGTGAGAAATTTTCAAAACGTTCAGCAGAGTTCATTTTATAAAAGTAGACGTTGGAGACTTTTACGTGTATCTCCATTTAAAATATATAGAGTATCCACTAGAGAAAAAAAGATTGTACATCGATAACAGAGTCACTTAGCCGTACATTGAGGAATATAATATATCGCTGACCAGTTTAAGCTATATATTTCTTATGCACCCAACATTCACTAAACTGGTACCTATCAAAATTCATGAGGAGTCAATTTAATCACAATAAAAACTAGCGAGGTCTAGAGAGATATGTATTGAACTAAGTTTTAGTAACCACGATATGGATTAGATGACATCATGAAACAGATGAAATATGGAATAGTTTTCCTCACAACGTTCTAAATAAATGATTAGTGTGTACAGATTAACGATTTTTAATCTCTTAATTGATCATTCAAAATGTTGAATCATCTGCAAAAGACTATCTCTGATGTGACAATATTCTTATCTAATAGATGTTTTTCTTATCTATCCGTCATTTCGTATATATCTGTCGTTGGTAACAATAACAACGATGAAATATTTACGTTTATATAAACCAATTATGATATTTCTGTGATAAAGAAAAAGCGACGATGTCTGTCTATATTCTGTTCCATCCACTTCAAACACTAAACGATTATTTATTAATCAAATAGTTCTAGATATCTCACCTAAAATTAAATGATATTGTTGTTCAATAAAAGCGAGTTTAGAAAAATTAATTAATTATAAAACTGAATAAAGAAAGAAAGAGAAAAAGAAAGACAGATTCTTTCTCATTGGATATTACACTATTTCCACTAAAATCTAGTTTAATAAATAGCAGAGTGAATTGTACATTATAAAACATTCTTCACTTTCTCTCGTAAGAAGCACAATTCCTTGAAACGATAGAACTTTATTGCACCACGAGTATGTTGTCAGTTAATAACAATAACAATCAAGCACATGGTTATTCAATCAATAGATTATTATCACAAGAAGATCAAAACCAAGGTAACAGAAAACTTTCATCTTAAACTAAATTATATACCGGAGAGAAACTCAGTATTTTAGAACATTTTTTTAATGTCATTTTGGCTTTGGTCTCATACAGTAACTGTCTGGAAAATTTTTGAGCAAGGCAATGAGAAATGTTTTTTCTAAAGTGCCTCAATTCGAAAGGAATATAATAATTTATGGAGAAGATGAATCTGCAATCGATTTTTGATTGAAGAAGCTTTTAAAATTTTTCGATTGGATGATACATTTACTTTTATGCAGTTGATCTATCTCATAGCAATGATCATTGCGCTAGAGTAGAATCCTTGGAGAAAGAATTGTATTTCTCGAAGTTCGACAATTTAGTACATACACCCGTATCGAAGAAGTTTTCGAGAACAGAATTCGTCTTTAACCATGAATAAACATTTTTTTCCTTTTCAAGAATGTTCATCGACCGATTTATTCAATACACCTCCGAAAAATCGTGCTAGACGTGCACGAACTTATTTCGATGATCGTGCAATACTAATATTAGAAGAGTCATTTTTGAAAGAACAATATCCCGATATATATCGACGTGAAACACTAGCCAGAGATGTTGGTACAACTGAAGCGAGAGTACAGGTAATGAATAATATTTGTAATTATATAAGGCATGTTTCTTTGAATATTATATTCTCTATTTAGGTATGGTTTCAAAATAAACGATCACGATGTCGCAAACGTTTAGCTAAACAACAACCGCAACAAGGACGTTTAGACAACAGTGATACAGAATCAAGATCCTCATCTTCACGATTAAGTTTACCACTAATATCAAAAGATGAAAATACTGATCCTGAATTCAATTCGATAGTTCCACGTCGTCGTCGTTCAAAACAACAACGTCCAATCATTCAAACAACAATGCCTACACAACATAAATCAACGGAAAATAGTTTAACGTCTACATTATCATTATTAAATTTACCATCATTGTATCCACAATTAAATCAATATGCTCCCTTTACTCAATCATCAATTATAGCGAGTCAATTACAATTGTTAACAAATCAAATGTTTTTACAACAATTCTATTAAAACAATTCATTGTCTGTGCATAAATATCTCTGCTTTTTGTTTGTAAATTTTTTTTTCTTCTATTTATAAGTATAATAAATTATTTGTCACTTACCGTTCACCGGAATATTTCTATATGCTGCATACACACTATATTTGCCAACTGTGGGTGGATTTAAAATAATTTTTGATGTGGATGCCGACAGTGGTTGAATACGAACTGGAACGGATGGTAAAGGTTTATCATCACACAATGCTAACACAAATAAATTTCCTCGACCAGCCTTTTCGATACGACCTAAAAGAAGCCAGTTATTTATAAAGACTATTAAACGATCATTTTGATCATATACATACATAACAGTTTACAATCTTTGATAGACATATACTTTTGAGCTGGTTCAAAGGTAACGCCACGAGGATTATAGACAGGAAAAATGAAGGGTGATCCTGAATAGAACAGCGATCACACTGAATGATTACTAAAATTTGTCTATTTCAAGTTACTAACCTGGAAGATTTTGATTAGCATAATTTCGTAATCCAATCAGATAATCACCTGGATACATTGGACAAAATTTCAGAATAAATGAGATTTCACCATTGCGTATTATTCTCATAGGAATTTCAATGCCATTTAATGAAATACTAATAAATTTAACTTGTGGAATATTGACTATAAACAGAAGAATATTTTAAAAATAGGTGTACAGATTTGTGACAATAGTATGTACCTATTAAATTAACTTCCGAATTTATTATAGGATATGGATGTTGAAGCATTACTTTAAACGGATATGATCGGGAATCTAAAATATTTACAAAATTCTTCACTAATCTAGAGGATGATATCTCAAAGACAGATGAAGTCGTTGAAATTCTGTATAAAGTAACTATATCAAGTTTACATACCAAATACATTACTTATTGGTTGGCCCTTTTCTAGTTTTTCTTTTAATTTAATTATTCGTTGAAGTGGTTCATTGAATGCCGATGAAACTGCTGATGTTTTTTCCGTTTCTTGCTGTTCCTTTGGTCGATTAATCGAATGTGCTCGAGTATTATGCTCGCGATTATTATGTATTGTTGGATCTGATATTCGTCGATCTTCTGATTTCGTTATTCTTTCTCGTAGAATCTCTTCTAGTTGAGATGGTGCAGTATTTAATTGACGTTTGTCATTAGGATAAAATACTTGTGATACGTCTTCATCTGATTTATAAGATTGTTGATCTGACACAGGTACATAACGAGGTTTACCTATTTGTCGTACATTAGGGTGATACGATGGATAACCGTGTGGCTCTAATGAACGAGGTCGAGGCTGAAGTGTATCGACTATTCGAGGACGATGTGTGGAGTGTGAATGAGACTGACTGGGTGTTATCGAACGATGTTGTACCGCGCGAGGTAATGATGACGTGAGAAAAGGAGATGTATCTGAAGTAATCGGACGTTGTTGTTGTGGTGAAGAATGTCGATTTTGTTGCACAATTGTCTGATATTTTGGATATATTGAACGACCACGTTCTATGATATCATTCAAAGGTTTTGGTTGAATGAACGAATTATTCTGTTTATTTAAGTCATTATGCTGTTCTAAAGATCGTAGTTGTCCGCTTCTTCGACGTTCCGAATCTTCTCGTGATGAATTTGTACTCTTGTTTAATGAGACTTGAGGATCGATTGGATCTAAAATAAGTTACAAAGCGGGCGACTATAGATCTCCTCTGTGGGAAGTATTGCAGGATCACCATTTTTCTAGATATCATTACTCTTTTGAAAATTTCCTAATCAACTATTAACGATACTGATGCAATAGAAGAATTATTAACCTTACTCAATATTATTCTGTCTTATTTTTATTTTTGAAAGAATTAAAAATTTTGTAAGAATTTTTTTGACTGTTTTAATTTATCAACATAAGGGCGCAATCTTACACTGTCATCACTTAAACGCTAAGATGGTTCTAGAATATAATTAAGAGTATTTTGCAAAAAAAAAGAAAAGAAAGAAATTTTCGTTTAATCTTATTGGTCTGTCGGAGAAATGAAACTTGTACGTCGCCTCGGAAGATTTTCTGCCACTTATGTTTAAATGCTACATATTCAGAGTGTTTCTAAACTAAATTTACGGTAAAAATAACACTTTGATAGCTCGATAACAATCAGACCAGAAATTGATTCTTAATCCTCAAAAATTTATTTTTGAAACTATAGAGATAATAACAGCAGCTATTTTTAATTCCATTATTCAATTTTTTATTAAAATTCGACGTTTCGAAAATATAATTTTCATTTTCAAGAAAACAATAGATGACAAGACTATAATTTCTGACTCTAACGTTACATTATAGTCTTGTCATCTATTGTTTTCTTGAAAATGAAAATTATATTTTCGAAACGTCGAATTTTAATAAAAAATTGAATAATGGAATTAAAAATAGCTGCTGTTATTATCTCTATAGCTTTAAAATTTTTACCCGTTAATAAGCATAACATTATTTTTGAAATATTAGTGTTAATTTATGATTTATGCAGTAACATCGAGATTTTCAAATAAATCTCTCAAACTGTTACATGCGCTGTTTAAATTGATATAAACATGTCTTCTTTTTTTACACTTACAGTTAGGAATGTTTTCATCACCATAAATTGATTGCTGTTGTTTTCTATTAGGTAATGAAACTAAATCATCATCTTTCAAGTCTTTCAAAACATTAACCGTAAATGGCGTATTCGGTACAGAATGCTTGTTAAAATTAACTGAAATTGTATGCGTACCTAAAAGAAAATATATTGGCTAAACTAACTTTATCATAGTTTCATTGGTAAATAAAAGAAAAGGCTTTTACCAGGTGAGATAGGAACAAATTCAACAGCAACTTGACCATTTGTTGTTTTTGAGATTGTCACGGGAATCAGGCTATTGGAGGTATCTAGAAACAAAAGAACTTCATCATGAAATAGTCTGATATGGATAAGAAAATTAAATAATTAACCTTTAACAATAACTTTCAACGGTCCTTTTCCAGCTTTTGTTGGATCAAGTAAAAATCGATATGTTGAATTAATCTTCGTTTTATCACAAACTCCAATTAATGTTACAGCTGATGGATCAAAGGCATTTACAGTTAATGGACTTCCTTGAATAGGTTGATTGTTTTTAAATACATGAATTTCAACGGGTCCGATAATAAGTGGTCGGTAAAATATTTCTGTGCGACCATCATCATAATGTTCAGAATAGTATGCAATATTATTATCATTAGCATCTAGAACATAATACGCTGCACATTCTCTTTAATTGAACATAAATTGTTTATTTACTTACCATAAATTGCTACGGTTAAATTATCGTTATCTTTCAATATAAAGTTTGATGTTGAATAGAGAACAGGATCAACAAGACCAGTTATTTCTAAAACAAGTTCTTTTTCTTTTGGTCTATCAACTGTTTGTTCTGGTAATGGTGGTGGTGATGGTAGTGGTGGTGAAGATAATAGTGGTTTTTGAGGAATGGGTGAGACCATCGATGATTTGTCATTATCAGAAATGTTTTTATCAGATTCAGCGTGTGATGATGGTTCAGTTATTATTTCGTTTAATAAGTTTCTTGATACACTTTTATCCTTTGGTGATGATAAACTTGTTGATGAAACTTCAGATGTTTCGCTAATTGTTGTTAAATCTTTTCCAACATGATTTGTACTAGAAAATGGTTGTGTATCAATTGATGTTAATTGTGAATGACTCAGTGGTTGTGTTTCTCCAACTACTGGTGTTTGAGTTGGTGACATCTCAATTGCAACATAATCATCATCAAATGCAAATATTGGAATACGTTGTAGTCGATTGTTACTTGATATTGTTAACCAGTGTGTTCCTATGAGCAAGAACATTTTTTTTTAATAATATTATGTTCATGTTTTTTTGATGAATACTTCATACCTATTTTTAGAATCGTTAGAGAAATAGTTACATCACCGTTCTCATTCTCAATTTTTTGAAATAAAACATGTTTACCGAATGGATCTAAAAAAACAAACAAAAATTTATTGTCTAGTATTAAAAAATCATCGTTTGAACAAAATTACCAACAATGACAATATTAAAATCTTCTTCATTATTTGATATTTTTTTCACAGTATGAAATATAGTTTCTTTAATTTGTACACGTAGTGCTGGTTCAAAAAAACTTTCTGACGTAAATGCCATAATACGAATTGGACAGAAATCCATTAAATTATTTCGTGAACGAATAAATACTTCATGTATACCTTTGAAAATATATATTTAATAAATTGATTAGTATTTATAATTGTGATATGAAATTAATACATACCATGATGCGTTGGAACATATTCAATGATAAGATCTCGTTCATCATTCCGATAAAATGCTGCTGGTATTGTATGAGCAGTTGGATCTACAATAATACACACGTATTTATTCTTGAAATAAAAAATATATTATCTTATACCTTTCACAATAACATTGATATCACCTTCAGTCACTTTATCTTTATCAATTATCATTCTTGTTATATCGTTTATTCCACCATTTCGAAATATTTCCATATAATCTTCTATACAATAAATATCATAAAGATTTTCATCTCCATTTTCGATAATACTAAGCTGATACAATCCTAAATAGGGTTAATATTAAAATGACAATGTATTTTGATAATATAAATACAGACACATACCCACATGTTCTAGTGAAACATGAACTTTTAATTGATTAGCCAATTCTTCGATTTTAAGTGGCAATACATCACCATTGGCCTCTAGTAAATGACAAACATTGTTTTGTTAACCATGAAGTTATAGTAATAAACAAAAAATTTACTTTTCAAAATAATTCCAGGATCGGATTCTGGTTCGTTGATTATGTAAATGAAATCTTTATTTGGTACAATTATTCTTAAACCTTCAATTTTTCGATCATGTGTAAATGGTAGAATATCAACCGACGCCAAAGTAATTGGAGTATCATCAATATCAGACTCAAGAGCTTGAATTTGATATTTACCCGATTTCTCGGGCAAAAATTCGATTCTCCAACGTCCGGCTTTATCTTGAATTCGCGTATGTTTTGTTACAATATTATGAGGATCTAAATATAATATAATATATTATTCCAAACAGAGTTTCGCTCATACACTTACCAACAACAAACGCGTCCAAATCATCATAAATATCTGTTAATGGTGTGCTGCATAATAGCCAGACTAATTCACCACATTTTGTTCCTTCTACTTGTCCACCAATGATCAATTCACTTTCCTCACCTTTTTCTAAATCATCACTTTCCTCATCCTCAAATTCTTCCTATACAATTAAAGGATTTTTAAAAATTTCTTTCTTTGTCTTTAATATTTTTTTTCTACTTACTAATTTCGTTAAATCATTGATTCTCTCATTTATTTTCACAATAAATGGTGAGCCATCAATAGGCATCCCATTAAATGATATTTCAACAAAATGTTTTTGTGGTATTTTAGGTAAAAATGCAATATCAAATTTTCTTGCTTGAATACTTTTTAATTCTGCTGGTAATGTTCGCAAACCATCTGTTATTGTCACTTCCAAATGACCTTCACCCGCACCATGCGTATCAACAGAAAATACAAATGGTCGTCCAACATTTCCAGCATTCATTGTTCCAACTTTAATTTTACTAATGTTAAATACTTCACATTTCAATGGTGTTGTCGATATTGGATGATTATTGTATAAAATTTCAATTTCATGTGTACGAGATACAGTTGGAATAAATGTCACTTCGTAACGGTGTCGTTCTATATGAACAATGGTATTTGGCACAATGTGACCAGATTCAGTAACTTTAACAACAAGTGGACCATTGTCATCTTCTATGTCAACTAAACAACAATAGCAAAGATTTATAAACTTAACATTTGAGATATAATGAATTACTTGTGAATGTAATAGGATTGCCAACAATGCCGTTATCAATTGGTGATACATAAACTTCTTTTGATTTGACAACGGATAATTTCAGAGTACCGACTAAAAATTTAGTAGAAAAACTGTTTATCTTTGTAAAAATAACATATGATATTAGTCTTACGCGTATTTTCACCATTAAACGTAATATTTATCATGCAATCATTTAAATCTTTTGGTACAAATACTATTTGATGAAGATCTTTTAGAAGACGTATTTGTTCATGAGAAATTTTGTTTACACCTTGCTCTATATTCACTAATAATTCACCATCACCCGAACCCGTTGTATTAACTGAAATAATGTCGAATAATAAAATCATGTATTGTTTGCTAATAACTTGTACTCACCCGTAAATTTATATTGTTTATTTAATAGCGCTGATGGAAGATCACCAACACGAATTTTACTAGCATCATATACTTGGCATATAAATGGTGTAATGAAAGGTTTTCCATCATTATAAAGAATAATTTCATAATCGCCTATCATTTGAAAAAACTGTTTTGTTTTCTGTGAAAATTAGTAGAAAATGGATATCTTACCGATTTCATTTGGAGTAAAATGTACTGCATACGATCTATTCGGTAAACGTTCAAGATTTGATTCTACTGCCTGTTCAGAAGGTGCTAAACAACAAATACAGAATGTTTTAGAATTTTTTTCAATACACATATTGTGACTAACTCACATATAATACAAATATCGATTTTTTCATGCAACTGAGAACCTTTTCGTGGTGTAAGAAAAAATGTATTTTTCTTATTAATTGAAGCTTTTTCAAAATTATTTAGTATAAAATCTGTTGAAAGTGCGTTACACGCAAAAGGAGATCCTAAAAGTCGAAGATCAATAAATATCTATTTTATACAGAAAAGTGATTAAACTACCATGAATATCGATTCCATTAAATTTTACAATAATCTTATGTACACCAGATTCTTCTGGCGTAAATTTAACACGAAATCGAGCACCTCCTTCGTTCGTAACATAATTCGGTATATTCTGTTGATTTCTTGAAACGGCTATTTCAAGGTTACCAGAACCCGAATGTGTTGCTTCAACTAAAACGACAAAAAAAGTCTACGTCAAAAAATTGAATAGAAATTAAATAAATGTTTTACTTGTAAAATAGGTAGCCGACCCAACGATAGCCGTTGTTGGAAATGCTAGTATTTCAACTTTGTTAACATCAAATGCACGCGCCACATAGGGACTACCGTCAGCTTCATTTTCATTGTGAAATACTTGGATATGATATTCACCAACAAACTCCGGTGTATATGTTATTTCATATTTATTATTGTCCATTTTTGTTATTGTACAAGAAACAGAATGTTCATCAGGTCCTACAAAGACACATCTCGTGAAGTTTTGAACATAAAAAGTGAACATTTATTAACTAGTACTTAACTTCATGCATTCTATACATTTAATCGATTGTTGAGTTAACATGATTCAATGATAATTGTTATCAACTACTATGAGTATTAGAACTGATATCATGTGTAATAGAGCTGAAAGTGAACAAAAAAAACCAAACACCGAAAAACAGCGATCCCGCCACCAACTTATATTTTATGTATTTCTTGAGACCACCAGTTATAATAAAATATGCAAATAAACGAAGATTTTTAATACCTTTAATTGAACATCGAAGGTCACCTGCGCCTGCATTTTGTGTTAAAATTGAAAATACTGCTGGACTATTGACAGGAACACTGCCAAGCCCTTTTCCAAAAGCCATGACCCGGCTAGTATCCATAACGTTCACAGCAAATGGACTTCCTAAAGTATGAATGAATAGAAAAATCAAATTTTGAGACAAAAGATTTTATTATCGAGTGACTGACGTTTGTATTCGATATGATCACTATAGACCAGAAACTCACGATCTAACCAAGAACTACATGAACAACCATTCAAAATACAGCACATTTTTCTTCTTCTCTCTATAAAAGGCCAACGTTGAGTGTTGAGCTGGAGAAGTGAAAAGATGTAAAAAGGGGAAGAATTCTTAAATTTGATACCAATGTAAACTAAGATAATGGCTTTCTAACGTTTGATGATTTATATATTGAACAAAATATTATTGAGAAGAATGTTTCCTTTCTAATCAAAAACATTGACGTGTCAAAGTATGCATACATATAGAGCTCAAATTAATCAACATAAAACTTTTTGCAACACGCATATGATCAATATTGTGTATATGTCGTCCCATATAAGGGATTAATTATACTAATATTTTATGTCGGTTATGAGGGACATTATGGTGCATGATGACAATAATTACTAAAATATCTGCTATTATTAATAGCTTGACAAATAATAACTCAAAGTGAATCCAAAAGGGCTTTAATGATGATGGACTGTTTTTGCCGAGTTAATTTGCATTTATACGGAATTTTTGCACGTAAGTTAGAAGTCATCTAACAAAGCGTCCTTGTACGGAATTAATGAGTATCGCATAAAAAATGTTTCGATGATTGTTCTACAGCGTTCTCAAATTTTGATCAACTTTTATCAGGAACACGAAGTAACTAGGAATTTTTTCAATCATGCTATGACATAGATATACAAAACGGGTAATTTGAAATGAGCTACGAAATAACTGATTCAAAAAGTTTTTTAAACAATCTTAAATTTTGGCTCTCTGATGACCCAATTTTTAAAATCCAGTTCAAAAACCGACTTTAAGGGAAAACGAACTTCATATTCGTAATCAGCACCATTGATTACATATAATATGATTGGTTTTATTCGATTGGTATTTTAAACGATTTGATATTTAGGGCAGTTTCCCGGTTAGCTTCTGAATAGTAGTACTCAATCAATATATATATCTAATCTTAATTATAATCATTTATGCAAAGAAAAGTTTGTGATCTTGTAAAGTAGCTGAGAGACCCGTTATGACGATTACCTACTGTTCAACCAACATTGTTTGACTTCTGCTCGTCAGCCGTCAACGTCTACATTTCAGAAGAGTGCAGAGAGCATTGTGAACATCTAATTGAAGTGATAGATTATTCAGCACTGTTTAGTAAAAAATTTTGCAGTAGCTCTTGGGTATCATTTGACTCAGATGCTCAGATTACTCCTACGCTCTTCTGAAGTGTAGAAGTCGATAGTTGACTAGAAGAAATCAAACAAATGTTGGTCGAACAGTGGGTAATCGTCAGGATGGATTTCTTAGCAACTTTACATAATCATAAAATTTTCTTGTTAAAATTAGTTAGTAGTACCGGGGTTATAGTATGTATGGAATAGTTTTTCTACTTATGGTTGAAACATATTTCACTAGTAAAAAAATATAAGACAATGCAATTTTTACAATTTGCGTTAATTTATCGAGTATATCTAGTACCAAAGTAGCGAAGACACTGCAAAGATTCTTAAAATTACTAGGTCAGACAGACTACAGTATTCAGGTCAAATAGACTTCTATGGATGTTGAAACTGTCTCTACAGGAGAGTTCATTCTTTTTCCGATTATCCATCTAATTTGACATACCTACAGTGCGAAAAAATACAATCAAGTTTTACTTTTATTAAAGTTGATGACTATTATTTAGTTCAAAGATGTTGATAAAACGAATACACATACATTAACTATATAAATAGATGTTCATTGCTATTCTTCATTCATTTAATTTTTTTCGTGTATTAATACATGAAAAATTCTATAAAGTAAACGAGAGAGAAGGAGAACACAGTTGCGGTTGAAAGAATATAAAATTGGATGTGCAAGATATTTTCGAGCTCACGCATTATTTCACTCTCTCTTTCTCTCTCTCTATCTCTCTGTCACACTCTTGTGATAATGACATATATGCCTCATCAGTTTTCGAGATGGGTGTACACGCGTCGTGGTATATATGAGGATAAATATAGACGTTGATATTTATCATGCGAGGTCACATTAAATAAAACGAGACTGAATGGGAACATACTTTGAACGTAAAATATGGTGGAACACAAAAATAAATTATTATCATCAAAAAATGCATGTTGATATATTTATGAGAACGGCATAATCAATTAACCTATAAGAGTTTCCATAAGAATTACTAAAGGACTTTTTAAAACCTGTGAGCTTGAACAATAACTAACTGAAGCTGAGTTTTCCTAAATATGTCAGAGTATTTCTTTCTGCTACTTTAAAACATAACATCTTGGAGTTATACGTGTTTGCTTTCACTACTGTTGTACACTAGAAACTGAGCAAAAAGTATTTCGATTCAAAAGTTGGTCTAATTTAGGTCTTGTAAATTGTCAAATATTTTTTTAATGACAGAATTAGAATGTGTACTTCAAATTATCTTATAGGTGAACAATGACGATCAAATATTGACCCTATTCAAAAATACAAATTTGATCAAACTTTGCCCGGTAAAAGAATGCCAACGTCATGGTTCCTCCTCAGGCTTGATACTTTATGAAGATATATCTCAGTACTTGTAGGAATTGGATTTGACGAAGGCTGAAGAGTCCAAAAGTTGGCCATGTTTTAAATTTTTTGAATTTGAATTAATATCACACACTTCATCAGTTTAGTCAAAGCAGAAAGAAAATTCTCTTTTATAACTGGCTCTTTGTTTAGCAATTCATATTGTGTATCTTCATGCTGAGAATCTTTTTAAACATGTCTTCGACGGTACGCAATTCGAAGAGATCGAATATATGTTTAACTTTTTTTAAACAGTTCGTGAATAAATTTTGTCTAACTTTTAAGGGTTTAAGTTCTAATAATTGATTATTAGACTTAAACCGTTAAACTCGGACTCGATGGAATATCACAATATCGATATTTTTTAGAATTTCTACTGGAAAATTTTATCAGATGGACGAACGTCCAGACACGTTCTTCTTTTATTTTTTTAAAAAAAAAGACGCCCAAATGCGTCTAAATGTACTTTATTAGCTCAAGAAAAGAAAAAGTGGGTCCAGACGCATCCCTTTTCTCCAGTTGGACGAAAGACACGTGTGGATGCTCCTCGATTCTAAGACGCGTTAAGATGTGTCTAGAGGATTGGATTAAAAACCGAGCGTGTTCAAACACGTCTAGGTTTTTTTCAACGATGCATCTAGACTCGTCTCTGAGACCAGAAAATGACTTGCGCGCATCTACATGCGCTCAGTTTATATCATTCGACAAACAAAAGATGGTTATATTTGCTTTTGGACACTTCTCACAGTTTAAAGCGCGCCAGAAAATGAGTCATCGCTATCACAGAATTTTTACAAACCTAGTTCTCTTCTTTAAGGGAATAAAAAAATTCATAACTTTAGAAAGAAGCATCAAGAGCAGAAAGCCTTTTAAGCATTTCACTAGCACACTACCCTCTATCGATCAACAGAATATCACTGAAACGAAGGTGGGCATGTAGGAAGGTTCCGTCGTAAGACAATTGCGCAAACGAAAGACATCATTTTTACCTGACACTGATTCACCATTAAATTTCACGTTACAATAATGCATGATAGCTTCTTGTGGCACAAATTGTACGTCAAATCGGCTATTACCAAGTGGATTTACTTGATTCGGAATGTTTCGACCGGCATAGTTAACACTTATTTCCAAGTTGCCTTCGCCAGCTCTACTAGCGTCGACTAAAAGCAAAAAAGAAAGAATAATGCAGGTATTATTTTGACATTGTGCATGCCACAAAGTTACTGAGAAATCGTGTTGATTTTCTAACGAAACTCTCTTGTGGTGGTGTAACAGTCACTTTTTTTGGATCGTAACATTTAACACGAAATGGACTACCAGGAACAGGCACATTTTGGTAAGTAACATGGATAGTGTACGTTCCAACTTCTGACGGTGTCCAATCAACTGAGAAACAAACAAAAAACAGTTCACATAGCGATATTGCATACTAGTTTTGGTGTTAATATAAAATAGAGTTCTTCAGTTTAACGAGTGTTTGTAGACTCACCGCGTAAACCATCATTGGTATATATCGATTGTGGATTAATTTGTTCGCCATTCGGTGTTAAGACATGACACTGAACATCAGCCGATTCTCCATGTTTTGATTCAATTGTAAACCATGTTTGGGTACCCAATAAAGCTTGACTCAAACCTGGTCCTTTTGCAGTCACATCATTGGGCGAAAATATCTGACATTCTTTTGGAAATCCTAGAATGAAAAATGAGACAATTCACATCTACTTTTGAAAACAAGAATGGAAATATATCTTTATACAGGATGATCCAAAAAAAACTTACTCCCTGTGTATTTATTGACTTTCTTGTGTACAAATATAATTGAACTTTTTATCATTAGTTTATTCAAATAGAGCAAAGATTTCTGGACAAAATGAGACGTCTCCAAGCTCTCTAAGAACTTTTTTCATGAAACAGCATTGAATTTACGGAAGGTCCCATACCACCAAAATCGGGACAATTAATGGGCAAACAAGAAAAATATGCTCTTGGGACCTTCCGTAAATTCAATGCTGTTTCATGATAAAAGTTCTTAGAGAGCTTGGAGACGTCTCATTTTGTCCAGAAATCTTTGCTCTATTTGAATAAACTAATGGTAAAAAGTTCAATTATGTTTGTACACAAGAAAGTCAATAAATACACAGGAGATAAGTTTTTTTTGGATCATCCTGTAGATAGTACAACAGCATTACTCTAAAATATGCTAGAATCGTATGCATAGTATGTCTTCCTGGATTTAATAGTTTAATATCAAGTACTTCATCAAGACTTCCAACTCAACTTTCTTATCAATTATGAATTTCTAAAGCAAAATTCTGATACGAACAAAAATCATCCACATTTTTTTGTAAAATTTTTAATGTACATAATAAGTCAATCAGCAAACGTAAAGTTGTTTTCTTTTCGTGAGATCCTGCGTTCTTATCTAAATATTTCAAAAATGTAGGAAAAACGCTTACAGTACATTAGAAATTTATGCTTTTTTTTGTTCATACAGAATGAAATTCGAGAAACTGGCTTAATCTATCTCCATTATTGTGTAGTTGTAAGAGTAAAAAAAAGAACGATGTAAAAGTGGATATCAAGTCAAAATATATTAGACATGAGATTATTTGTTGTACTATTGTGTATGTCTAGCAAGAATGAAAAGCAAGATGAATCATTTGTGTTTCATATTTGTACATGTTCTCCTTTTTTTAAATTGAACATATAACAGGACAGGACCTTCGAAAAGCAAAACAAATAGAAAATATCTAACATTATTAATTTAGCATATCTTTGTATATGAGAAGATACATATTCAAGGCTAACATTTATATAACAGAAAAATTACCAGGGAGCAAATCTCCATTGAATTTCACCGATAATATATGTGGATCACTTGTTCTCGGACTAAAACTGAATAAAAATCGTGAACTTCCAAGTGCTTTAACTTGATTTGGTACTAATCCATCATTAATTGCAACCTCTAATTGTCCTTCACCTGAAAATATACAACTAATTTATTGACTAAAGTTAGATAAGAAAAAAGCTCGTTACTCACCCGCTTTGGATGCGTCAACGGTAAATTCAACTGGCTGATTGATTGTTACTATTCGAGGTATATCCGAAACTACTAGACGTGAAGAATCATAGGCTTTTAGATGAAAGGGTGAATTAGGAATAGCCATATCACCCAAACGAACATCGATCCGATGAGTCCCTAAAAGACATGAGGTAGAAACTTAAGACTAAGCAAAAAATACATTGCTCCACAACATCTCCAAGAGAAATTTATCCTACTCTAGGATAGAGAAAAAGTGCCATAACACTCGATGATTCATTCGTTATTGCTCTTATAGAGTCAAAATTGGAGACATTTTTTTTTGTATCGCATTTGGCGGGAAAAAATCAAGCCCAAAAAATTTGATTTCAATATAACATTACTGACTGACAGACACACTTTTATTGCAGACTCCAAATAAATGTTGTCTTCTTTTTTTTCCATAGTCTGCATGGCATTCACCAGGTAAGTACACACTTTTACCGTGTTGGCATCCTATGTGCAATTTTAGTTTATTATCTATTTTCTCTTTCGTTGTCACAAATGTACAGCTGCCAAATTGAAAAAAAAGAATGCTGTGTATAGTCTGTGGTCTCACATGTGCCCGTACCGTTTAATTTCTTTTTTTTTTATTTAACGGATGAAATAATTTCTTTTCTGTTTTTTCTTTTTTTGTAAAAGTCACAGTGCTGCTGTATCAGCATATGTATACAGATAGAAAGGAGGGAAGAAAGAAAAAGTATTTGTGAAAATCTCAAATTGAAACTAAAAAAACTTAACATTTTTTTCATCTAACGCAACAGATCTCTGTTTAAAATATTTTGTTCTTTTCTACTGGTGTACTTTTTTTGACAAATATATTACGTTTCACAAACGCGTACACACAGCGAAAATTTTGATATGCCTTTGATTATTGTACAACTGTTTTTACAATAAGCAACAAGAAAAAGAATGTTCAATTAGACTTTATACAATGCGCCTCTATGCTCAATCAAAGTCTTTTTTAGCTAGAATTTTTAGAGTAAATAAAGCGAGGAGAGAGAATAAAAATTTCTTTACTATTACTATTTAAATTATGACTGTGATTAACTATTTTAAAATTATGACTGTGATATGAAAGAATAGATAACACACACTTTCTCATCAAATGGCATAGTTTGTTAATCACTTGTCTGTTATCATGCAATAATTACTTCTTTTAAGAAATTATGGTTTTATCAAAAATTTGTTTTAAATTAAAAATAACGCGTCAAATTTACTACTGGACAGGTAGGGGGTAAAATTGAGAAACAATAGAAAGATTTTTGACGCGTATCTTGACATGAATGAATGTCACAATACAAAAATAATAGTATTATCGTAATCCAAGGTATTGAAAGTATAATAAAATGAAGCACAAAAGAAATAACCGTGATCATTCATTCATCACAAGAACACACAGTCAGCGAATGTCAATCTTAAGAAGCGACGATGCATGTTTGATTATAGTGAATACGATTATAGTAGTAATACTACGAACAATCTAATTATTATTACTCAAATAAACTAATTGATTCGAAATGTAAAGGTGAAGAAACAATCAACATCAAGAGTCCAAACTGTAAAACTTACTTTACCGCCTTTAGCAATATAATTTTAGATAAATAAGATATAACTTTGATAAATAATGTTAAAAATAATATTGATGATAACAAATGCATCTTCCATGCACTCACCTCTTGGATATTCTTTCTGTACAAAAGCGGAAACCTTACAGCAACACACAGAAAAAAATATAAAAAAGAAAGAGAGAGAGAGAGAGAGAGAGAGAGAGAGAAAACCCGATTAATACCACGTCCTTGTGTACATTATTAAACACGTTTAAGGGAACACTTATGCAGGTACACCTCTTCTCTCGACCGATCTATCTACAAATTATACGCAAGGTGAAATGATTTGTACACAAATAGTGAAAATAATGTTCACTTCTTTCAATTAACATACTATCGAATATAAAATTTAAAATTCAAAAAATCATTTTGTGCTTCTCGTTCCCGTAACTTGTCAGTCTTCTATTCGGGATAAGAAGTCATGCATAGTGAAGTTCATTAATAAAACTGAACAGTTTGGGTAGACTGAATGATAAAAATTGCAATATTTTATTTTATTTATTAAGAATGGTTTGGTAACGTTAATTTCTATCAAAATGCATATGCAGTTTTCCATGTTTAGACGTTTTTCCTTTTCTAGGGTGTCTCAAAAAATTAACTATTTAAATTAACATTTAGTCTCTATAAGAGCAGTAGCACCAGTTTTTAACTGGTGTTGGGGCATCCGGGAGAATTGCTATACACTAGTTATCACGCTTCGCTCAGAGGCGTGAAACATCTCATTTTGTAGAAAAATGTTTGCTCTACAAAACGCATTGGTTAAAAAATTTCCAAAATTATTTCTCAGAGAACTTAGAGCATTCAAAAATACATTAAATCACGGAAAAAAACTGTTCGAACAGGTTTTTATTCGTGCTTTTGTGCATTTTAGAATGTTCTAAGTTTTCTGGGAAATGATTTTGGAAATTTTTTAACCAATGCATTTTGTAGAGCAAACATTTTTCTACAAAATGAGATGTTTCACGGCTCTGCGCGAATCGTGATAACTAGTGTTTAGCAATTCTCCTGGATGCTCCAACATCAGTTAAAAACTGGTGCATACCTAGTTTAGTGTTCCTGATGAATTAGCACTACGGAAATGTCAATGCTATCAAGAATATAGAGACTCTTTTATCAATAGTTTGTATATTTCAGTCTACGTCTACATAAGAATATCTCTTCCGCTCTTTCGAAGGCATTATCGTTTCTGAGTTGGAAACATGATACATTATAATGTGCAATGTCCTCTACAAAATACAACCACTTTCATCTCTCTACGATTCGTTCAGAAAAGACAATGTTTTTAAAGTTTGCCACAATAAGGTGAAGTAACCCTAATTTTTTAAGTTTCAAAGAATTTTTCTCGTCTATTCAGTACTTGAAAATGTTTTCAAGTCGTTAATCTTGTAGAGCAAAGATCTGTCCACAAACTGAGATGCCTTACATCTCTCCATCAATAGAACCACAACAAATTCACTAAAAGTTATAAAAAATTGTATCGAAAACTACTGCTTTCGATTTTATAAATCTTATAGCTCGAGAAGAAAATATCAAAAAAGGAAAAATCTCGTACTCAGATATCATCCCAGATATCTGTGGTAAAATTTTTACACCAATTTAATAAAATTTTAGTGCATCCTCATATATTCCAATTCGACTAAGTCGTACAGATGTATCAGAAATGTGATCGAATTGTAACCGATAACGCGAACGGTCAAGCCATTCCGTTCCGGTAATACCTTTTAGAACAGCTGCTCTAAAAAAAGTTTCAACCAGCGTGTGTTGAGCTTTCTCTAGAATAAAATTAGTCTTGCACTATGAAAAAATGGAAAATTTAGAACGGCCCTTCCGTACTGGTAGAAAATTTTCAGAACGGTACCGTTCCCGTTCAAGACTTCTGGAACTGTTACATCTCTGAAATGTCACTTATTTCAGCACTTTTGGTAAAACTTATAGCATTATAAGAAAACATGGTGAGCGAAGAAAAACATCTCATTTTATAGATAAACTTTTAGTCTACAATATTTCCTCGTAAAAGAAGAGAAAGTATCTTTAATTTAATATATTTCCTTCTCCAGATATCTTTACCCTATATAACCCATTTTGGCTGCGTACCGAACATACCACATTTCTGTCGAAATTTTGCCAAGCGTGACGCAGTTTTTGAAGTGAAACTACATAGGAAATATGTTGGATTATGTTGATTGTTGTTATGTAATGTATTCATTCATCGATGGCGTAGCATAGTAGAACACATTATGTTATTACGGATAATCGATGTTTCATACGACGAAAAGCAGAACAACATCCAGCATTGAAGCAATAGTAGCAAATTATTTGATCCTAATATATCTTGCATCAGGTATTTAAATACATCGGTTTGTTAATCGTATCTGCTATTGATTTCTCTGGCATTATATAAATGCTAGCTATATCAGACTCTCACGGACAGGTTTTTTTCACTGCATGAATGAAAAAAGTTTTGTTTACATTTCATTTTTTTTAACTTTCTATGTCCATGTATGTGTGCAAGAAAGCTATTAGTTTTTCAATTTCCAAATAGACATATTTCTTATTTAAAATGTCAGCAAGTGATTAAGAAAGAAACGAAAAGAAAAAAATCATTAAAACATGTTTTATAGTAGCATTTACCTATTTCATTTAGCATAAATTCCACCCGTTGTTCAATGTCACTAATTCTGACAATGTTGTAACTAATATTGCGGCTAGATGGAGCTGAAAAAATGAACTCGATGTGAAAAACAATTGTGAAAATTAACTGTGATTCCTCTGTTGGTGATTATAATTGTGGTTGTTCGGTCTAGACATACTCTATTTACCTGTTATTGTTAAATCTAATGGTAAATGACTTGCACCATCTACATTAATATCGAATGAAAGTGGTCTCCCCACATGACCTTTCCTAATACTGTCTGATACTGATATACGTGCCAAACTGATAACTTCACAGAAGAAGGGACTACCTAGAAACCAATAGTCTGAAAATAAATTTTTTCTCCCTACTAGACATTAAAATAATACCTGGAACAGGTATAGAATTAAATCTGACATCAATTGAATGTCTTCCATATTCACGAGGTAAAAATGAAGCATCAAATCGAAAATTTCCTCGTGGTGTAGCATCACATGGAACTTTTCCATCTTGAATCGATATTTCCAATTGACCAGCTCCAGCATCAGATGCATCCACTAAAATATAGATAATGATTATCAAGTATTTATTATGCAGAACACTTTTTTGTATGTATTACCATCAAATCTAACCAGCTGACCAACAGTTCCTGCTTGAATATTAGAAACGACTACTTTTGATACATCAAAAACATTCACTTTAAATGGACAACCATATACTAATTGGCTTTGATAAAATACATCGATATAATAATCACCTTTAACGAAAATATAGTATTTTTTTCTAATGTAAAGGAAAAGAAAAAGCGAAGAAAGATACCAATTTCATATGGTAAATATTGAATATTCCAAGTTCCATCATTATTATTAATCACTTGCATAGGGCAACTATGTTGTGATGGAGCTAAAATAAAAAATGTTTTGTCGTGAGTCCATCAATAAAATGGCATCGAGTTTTTATTTACTTGTTACAACAACTTTAACATCACCACCAGGAATTGTTTTAGCATCAATAACAAACGCTGTATTTTTAGCAACTTGTGCACAAATTAGTCCATCCCCATAAGCTCGAACAGAACTGATATCGGTCTTTCCTTCGAGAGATGAATGGCTTCCTAAACAACGCTGAATAATCAAACTCTTTCAAAACAAATCTAATCGCGAAAGAAACCGAAGAGTAAAACTTCTTTAGCGATAAATGCAATTAATTTCAGATAAGATATAAAGCAAAGACAATTAAGCCGCTCTGGCAAACTAAACATCAACATCCTACTGTAAAATGAACCTTACCATCATCGTACTTCCTATACATGATTAATGGATTATTCTGCGTACTCTTGCTTGTTTCTTATCAGTGATTAAACACACTACTATCATATGACTCATTTTAGAAACAGAAGGATAGTTATATCACATGTTTTAATCCATTTTTTTCTTTCATTTTCCAATATATCAAAATAAAATTCATTTGTATACACTATACGTCTCTGTCTTTACACATGCTGGATAAACTATATACATAATCTTTTTTCAGACACTGTCGAGATTCTTAAGAGGAGAATGGAGAATAAAATCGAAAATATGCAAAAACAAGTATCAATTACCAAACTGATCTCAAGCATAATCAATTTTGTCAACTTAATTACATGTCTTCACAATTTAGTCTATTTTAAGAGAGACGATATTTTGAAATATTTTAAAAAAGAAAGTTTAATAATTATGCTTCGTTTACATCACAAGATCGTCTTGAGCCGCTATGGCTAAATGGTTATGTTGTTCGACACGTATCTTGTTTGTTCATATAAGGTTTGAAAGTCAGTAGTTTCTATATCTTAACTTTTGTTTTCTTTACATTGATGTTCACTAAGACTTTAGCTATTGACTATTATCAAGGTTTTACAGCTAAATGCAAAGCTGCCGATTTTTTCGTAAAAAAAAAGCAAACAGTTTATGTCTAGATCATATGAACTACAGTAAAAAGGTTGGTAATCAGACAAAAGTACGAATTTTCAAGATAGTTAGTAGCATTAAATGCGAGTCTCACTAGTCTCTATCGCTGATTGCTGATCGTCCAATAGCACCAACAAGTTTAATCCGCTTTTTCAATGATTCGTTCTCTATAACAATTTCATTTTTTTTCCAGTGTAATGCTAATGTCGCTTGATCCAAGGAGAAGGAACACTTTATTTTGATACCAACGCGTAGCCATGACTCTCTTCTACTTTTTGACTAGATATACGTCTTGACTTTTAAGGGTTACAACAGACAACTATTTTACAATCGACAGTTCGAGTCCCTCTTTAAAAAATTTCATAGTTCGCTCTGAAAACATGTTTATAATTCACAAATTAAATTATTTGTCTAGAAATGTAGATTATTTTCCTTAAGTTTAAAGGTGAACAATTATGTAGTTCCAAAAATCCATTGAAAATAAGTAGACGCTAGTGCAATATACACAGAAACCTGAATCTAATAGACTTAGAACTATCTTTCTATCATATCTTCTGCAACTTATGTGCTTTATAGCTATGAAAATCAATGGCGACAAAAAAAATTGGCGAAACATTCATCTGAACTGAGAGTATATGTTATATCGCGCTTCGGTACCTCAGTGGTTGAGCTTCTGGTCTGTTACTGTAGTTCAGAGGAATCCAAAAATTTGGAAAAATTCAGAAAATAATATTTTTCAGTTCATAATGAAAAATAATGAAATTTGAGAAATGCCCTGAAAACGACTCGTTAACAATATCGTTTTCGACTACCTTGACAGTGGATTCTGCGTTCGATTCCCAGTCGAGGTATATATTTTCTTTTCACATGTTTATCCAGATGTAACTGACGACCGGGCAGTTTAAAGCAGTCTACGCCGGTCCAATAGAGGAAAAAGGCGTAAATCGGCCGGTTAACTGATAGATCGGCGACCGGTCCGATCCAAGTTTTTAGACCGGTTACCAACCCGGTCGACAAAAATCTTGACCAGTTACATCTATGTGTTTGTCTATCAAATTGTCTCACTTCTAGTCATGTTAAAATTCACTTTCTAAAGGCAAAACATTGTCAAGAAATTTTCGTCATCATCTTCACGCATTTTTGAATGTCTACTCTATGAGCAAAAAAATGGAATTTGAGAAACTTTTATAAATGTAACATCTTCTTAGTAAATGATTACACGTAAACGGAGCTCGAAAAAATGGAATTATTATAAAGAACGAATCATTGTAAAAGCGAATCAAAATTGTTGGGCGATCAGCGTATAGTGAGCAATCCGAACTTTTTCCTCCAGAACCGTGTATCATATCATCAATGATAATACTAGAGACGAAAATTGCTTCTTTTTCTCGGCATTTCTGCACAACTCTTGACGTACTATCTTTTTCATGTTCAATGATAATTTTCTAACTGTATTTGTTATTGTTTTCTGGTTTTCCAAGACATCGATCGTGTCAACCACGAAGTTCAAAATTGCAGTAGGTAATAAGTTGTTAAAAATGAAACATTGAAAAATATTTTTAAAACTTTATTTCTTCTTTATCTTACATTTTTAAATTTTAGTGAGACTAGCTTAGATTGTTTTCTTTGATTGAATCGAGGTTCTTCATATTTCCCTACTCATACACTCACTTTGTTCCTCATTTTCCAAATGTCCATAATATTTGATCCGTTTTTCGTATCGATATGTATACATTGTAGTATAAGAGTAATAAATGGGAAAATGTATTGAATAAGAGAATACTATGATCAATAGAAAATTAAATATTATTTATGAACAAATTTTACAAATTGATTTTATGTAATATAACAATTTTATAAAATTATAGAAAAGTGAGTCTGTTGGCAGCTCATGATGTAACATGAGAGAAAAATGAAAATTGATTAACTAAGATTAATATTTTGAATGAAAATTACATACAAATTATCTAGCTGTTTGTGTTTTATATGATATTAGTATATCCATTGTAATTTTATTACATTATACATTGAACAAAAAAATTTTTTTATTTGTCTTTCTCTCTCTTTATATGCCGTTCGCACATGATAATCTTTTTTCTCTTTCTTTTTCGTCTCTTTTCTTTTTCGACTATGATAAACAAATTACGTCGTGCGCACGGTATTATTACAACAATATCGAGGACATCAAATAGTTTTTTTTTCTTTTTACTTTTTACTTTCTTTTTTGTTAGATAATTAATTGAACTAGATATAATATACAGTATTTATTCTTGTTATTATTATTGTTTTGAAAAACTCTTAAATATTTTTACTAAAATTTTTAGTTCAATCACTAGCAGAGGATACAGATATACGATAAGATAAAATCTCATACAACAATGTCGCTTGTTTTATTTAGTTTGTCTTTTTAAATTCATTTTTTTTTTTTTTTGTTATTTGTGAGAAGATTAACATCCAACTGCACTCTTCTTTCTTTTTGTTAAAAGTATAAAAATGAATAACTGTCATTTGTATATAACAGGTGTTTGAATTAACTACTCCATAATAATATTTCTAACTAAAATAATCTTCATATAGAAGATTAAAAATAAAAAGAGAGAGAAAGTTAAACTTTAGTTATTACTGAGTATATAGTGTCAAAAATTCTGTTTTAGATATATCTAAGATGTTCATATTTAGAATTTTTGTTTGCTGTATACAAGGTAGAATAATATCAATTTAGATTTATCTCTCTTTTCCTTCTTTCATTTATTTAGTCTTTATCACTAATATTTTTATTAGACTAAAAAAAAAAAGAATCATGAAGTGTAATTAAAGTTTGTTTTTTTATTCATCAAATTGTAGAGAATAATAAATTGTATTTATGACATTTTAACGATAGAATATAGAATTGATGAAAATTTTTCGTATATGTGCCTTTTTCTTCTTCTTCTTCTTCTCTTTTGCAATATTCGTGAATGCGTTAATTTTTTTTTTTTTTTTTTTTTAAAAAAAAAAAAAAAAAAAAAAAAAATTAAAAAAAAAAAAAAAAAAAAAAATAAAAAAAAAAAAAAAAAAAAAAATAATAATTATCTTTTTTTTTGATTATTCTATAATCCTTAAATTGTTAATTTTTTTTTTTTTTTTTTTTTTTTTTTTTGAGTAAAGTATAAGTGTTACTTTGGTGAAGTTTAAGCACTGACATTTGAATAGGAGGTTGACAATGTTACTCATTTATTTGATGAGTAAAAACATGCCTATCGTTGTACTCTATATTATTAATGATAATAACAACAAAGTATTGATCATAATACGTCGGTTAATTTGAACAATTTCTAATCCATATAAAAGCTATTTTTTCGATGTTCGACACTCTTTGCTTGTTGACTCAAAATTACTTAATCACAGTTATTATTTTAAGAGGATATTTTATTTAAAACAATAGAGAGATAAACATGATTTAGTCATTTATATTTAATTTTTACTATTAACTGAAAAACAAAACATGTTTATTTCTTCAAAATAGTTTAAAAATAATAGTCGCGATTGTTAAAATATGTACAATAGGATCATTAATCTAATTTTTACTAAATTATTTTAATCGAATATACAAACTTTGTTTGAAAAAAAAATTATTTTTTTTCTAACAGACATAGTTTATATTAGACGTCACTATGCAATTTCATCGCTTTTTTTCGGTTCACTCTTCTTTTAAATGATATATGACGAGTGTCCTAGACATAACGGACCACTTTTGTATCTCATTTTGTTCTATACTTATAAATGGTTTGAAATATTTATTCTAAGCTTAAACGATGCAGAATTTTGTCTAATTTTCAATGATCTGTTTGACTTAGAATAAATCCATGTTTTCTCTTGAAACTTTCGAGATAGTACACTCTGTCGAAAACACTATGACTCCGACGCCATGTTTTCCTTAAAACATGATCTTTCTTCATTATCACACTGTGACTTGATTTTTTTTTACAGCAGGGCTTCCTGATACATATAGCATAAAAATCGCTAAAAATAGATACTAAAAGATTCAACCTTTCAAGCTCTACAAAATCCTATGAAATACAATAAATGATAATGTTTAGTTTTGCAACAAAAGAGAGCAACTTTCTGTCGTAGTCACGTAATTCTGCTACCATAGTGGATTTTCGCAACGAAAGTTTAACGTTCTTCTTATAATATTATGGAACATCATTTTCTAACTTTATTTTAATATAAAAAGTAACGCGTCATATTTTCGGCAGATAAATTCGTACGCGAAGTATATTAACATCCTTACAGAATCTACTATTGTACTTATTACTTCGAACTTTCAAACAATACTCTGTTCATCGTCACAAAAATAACAATACAATATGACTAGGGAAA